AGATAGCTGGTGTGGAGGGGCATGCTCCCAGACAGCCAGTGTGGAGCACAGACTGCATTCTGTCAACCAGAATTCAGGCCACTGAGACCTTTCTGTGGCCTCTGCTTCTATTCTTTGCTTTCCTCAAACCCACCCGCCCAATTCCCAGTGGTCAGGGATGTCTATTTTAGATGTGAACTAGACCAAGTAGCTCCCCTTCCTAGAAAGGTTCCAGTGGTCTTCCAGCACATGCCATCCAAATGTTGTGCTGATCTATCAGGTCCACTGGCTCTGGTTCTTGTTCTTATGCCCTGTGACCTTGGTCCCCACCCCTTCATCTCAGGACTTTGCCTCAGTTTATAACTTGCTTATCCCCTCCTGGGACTCTTCTGACCATTCAGATCCCTGCTTAGAAGCCCGTGCTGAGCGCACTTACCCATGAGCACCAAGGGGCCATCCCAGCTCAGGCACCAGCTCTCAAGGGTCCTTCCCAAGTCTCCTGGACTCACCCACCTCTGCTTGCCACATTCTGCCAGCCACACCTGTTTGCATCATATTTCAGGAGTTTGTTTTGTTTTGCTTCATTTTGGTACTTTATGCTTTATTTTATTTTTTGGCAGGTCTTTGGTAGCCCTAGCCAATCTGAAACTCAATATGTAGACCAGGATGGCCTCAATCTTACAGAAATCTTCCTGCCTCTGCCTGCCAAGTGCTGGGGTCAAACACATGTACCTTGTCACCCGACTGTTTTAATTTCTTAACTTTCTTACTAAGATTTATTTATTTCTGTGCGGTGTATGAGTCGGCGAACTCACCTTTGGGTGCAGAGGCCAGAAGAAAGCATTGCATCCCTCAGAGTCAGAGCTGGAGTTAGAGGAATTTTGTAGGAAGCCTGGCTTGTTATATGGAGGTACCTGAATCTGAACTCTGGTTCTCGTGGTTGAAAAGTACCTGCTCTTAACTGCTGGGCCATCTCTCCAGCCCCTTAACTGTTTTGGGTAGACTTAGTTTTTAATTTTTTATTGTAAGTTCTTTGTTTCTTGAGAATTTCATACTGAGTACTACTGTACACCATTTTCACTCCTTCCTCTCCTCCTCCTGTTCTTCCCATGTCCCCCACTCCCTGTCAATTTTGTGACCTCTTAATGTTACACACACACACACACACACACACACACGCACACACACACAGATATACACACACGTATACACTGTGTCAATTTAGTTGTACTGATGGTATTTCAAACTAGTGCAACCATGATGGAAATCAGTGTGGAGAACACTCAAAAAACTAAAAGTGGATTAACCCAGCTGTACCTGTCTTTGGCATATACCCACTGGACTCGATATACTACTGCTCAGCCAAGTTCATTGCTACTCACGGTAGCTAAGATGTGGAACCAATCTAAAAGTCCTTCAACTGATGATAATGAAAATGTGGTATGCATACACAGTGGAGTTCTATTCAACTATAAAGAAAAATTAATTTCTTTTTAAAGATAAGCTTGGAACTCATGATCTTCATGCTTCAAACTCCCAAGTGCTGGTATTACAGATAATTTACCACCACACCTGACTTTCTCAACCTTTAAATATAATTGAATAACATCATTCATAGCTGCTTTCCTACCTCCTAGAACCGTGTTAGACCTGTTTTGGAACTCAGTGAATGTTTGATCAATGAATAAATGGCCCAATTTAATTCACACAATAACTTCCATGGTCTGTTTTAGCAGATTTTCAATCCAAAATTACACATTAAATTTTTCTGAAGGAGTTTTTTTTTTTTTTAATGCTAATGCTTGAGCCCAAACTTGGTAGGCTCTGATTTAGTAAGTCTGGGGTAGAGTTAGGCTGAGCATCATTCTTTGAAGCCATTACATCGAACCTAAAGTATCTTAAATTTATGACACACCAGAAGAAGAAAGTTCCCAAGAACAGGACCTGTCAGAGTGGACATAGCCACAACACTCATACCTTTGAGGTACTCAGTTCCTCTCTGGGCTGTCAGGCCAAAGTGGGCTGGGGCAGCCAGCTCTGTGGCACTGTGGGAGGGATATGTAGTCTGAAGGTAGGTTTTGAGCTTCCCCTTTGGATAAGAGTAAGACTTATCTGCCAGGGGCAGCGATGCTGTGTCTTCTTGGGTACACTGAGCCCACAGCTGCCTCCAGCAGCAAAGTTCTGAGTTCTGGGATTCCAAGGGACTGGGCGGGTCTGGGGAGGTTACTGGAAAATGGGCCATTGTTGAGTAAGCAGGGCCCTGCTTAGCAGTCCCTGCTGAGCACACTCGCCCATGGATACCAAGGACCAGAGTTCACTTAGGACCAGAAAGCAAAACTGATCGTGGAGTGCTGGGTGTTCTATGGACTAGAATTTTAGTCTCAGCACTGCCCTAGTCAGTGTGACCTTATGCATGCGATTTACTCTTTCTAAGGCTGTTTTCTGTAGTGTTCTATGGCATGCAATTCATTGATTACAGTAAGGGTTAAGCAAACATACATGCAAAATGAGCAGCTGCGTGTCTGGAAGGCAGTCAACACGCTCTCCCTTTTCCACCGTCAATCCCTTAGCCTTCCTTTTTCATTCCCTTCCCTTCTCTCCCTTCCTTCCCTTCTTCTACAGTGTTTGAGATCAAACGCAGGGCTTTTCACATATTAAGAAAGGACTATCACGCTACACAGTCTCAGCCTCCTCAGCACCCTTCCTTTATTCTACTTCAGCAGCTTCACCCTCTGCACGTACAACCAACAGTCACGCTGTAGCCGCAGAGCCTTTTCACCTGCAGTTTCTTCTGCCAGGAAACTCTTCACCCAGTGATTCTCAAGATTTATCCTCTTGGCTCATTCGAGTCTTGGCTGAAATGTTACTTTCCCATGGCCTTTTCCCCACCACTTGTTTCAAATGATGACAGCCTCATCTTCATCTCAGGCACTAATCGCCTTATAAATCACATATCTTTTCCTTTGCCTAGCATATAATAGGTATCCAATAGTACTTTTTTTGGATAATAAAGGCTGTTCATATTACTAGTATGTCATTATTATGGTCGGAGTTTTCGGCCTTCAGCTCTTCACTACCCCGTCTCTTATACTGATATCGAGGGCCGGAGAGATGGCTCAGGAATTAAGAGCACTCGCTGCTCTTGTAAAGCCCCTGGGTTCGGTTCCCAGCACGCACACGGTGGCTAACAACCATCTATAACTCTAGTTCCAGGGGATCCAACATCCTCTTCTGGCCTCCACAGGCATTGCATGACACGGGTGCACTTACATCCATGCAGGCAAACACTCATACACATAAAGTAAAAATAAATTGATAAATAAATATACCAATGGAAAGGGGGACACTGAGATCATATTGCTTGAAGAATAGCTCACTGCGCCACATAAAAAACCATATCTCTAGAAATGAATGGAAATTCAGAGATGAGTATATTGCCTAGGACCTAATAAAGGGCCCTGTGACCAAGTTTGATGGGGAGGAAGAGAAGTTGACCTTGTGGCAATGCACCAGGCTGACCTGGCTAGGAAATGAGACAGAGCCACAGGGGAACATGGCACAGTGACTGATAACATCCCATGTGAGGTCATTAGCATCTCTATGGGAATCCTTCATCCATTAGCACTTTGGTCCATTCCTAGTGTGAAGGAAGATGCTCTGAAAACTAAATGAACCTGAGATTCCGTGTATCTGAGATCCCATAACCAGGTTAGATTTATTCTGGAAACAAAATAAAAAAAACAGGCATCCTTTAGTATTTAGTCAGAAATTAGTTCATACCTGTTATTCATTGGAAGTCCCAGCACAATATTGAGCTGAGAAAAAAAAATGTTGAACAAATATTGGTCTTTACTATTCATGGACTCAACAAATGGTGATGGATGTCTCCCAACATGCCTGGCACTGTTCTGAATGTAGAGGTACAGGAGTTCAGAGAACCCTAAATCTACACCCTCATGGAGTTCATGTTCTGTGTGTGTTTCGGGGGCGGGGGGCGGCAGATGAACAGTGAATGAAAGAAAAATATGCAGTGTCAAAAAGTGATGTTTCCTAAGGAAGGAAAAGCAAGAAATGGTGGCCCGAGGTGGGGGAAGGAGAGGTGAAGGGAGACGGTCCATGTCTTAGGAAGGTTTCTGCGGCATATCAAGTGACACCTTGACAAATAAGACAGCAAGCCGTGTAGAAGAGGCTGGGATAGGAAGACCAGCAAGGCCTAGGCAAGAGGCAGTGCTGTGCTGGAGCTGGCTTACAGAGGAAAGGCAGGGCTACAAGCTAACCTGTGGGAGTGTCACAAGCAGTTTCAAACCAGAGGAGCTTGAAGCCCCTCCCACAATAGCTACAGTGTGACCCCTGCAAATGATACAGATCAGAACATCTTTTGCTGTTATCAGATAAAACAGCAGCTCACTATGTACCAGGAGAACAAACAAGATTAAGTGGGTATAAGAGAATGAGCTAGAAGGTGAGAGAAGATGGCAGGAGTCTGCTGGACTACTGTCACAACCCTGGCTTTGACCCTTGGGGAAATACAGAGCAGAAAGAGGCTTCTCATCTATTTTTCAGCAGCTTTATTTAGACACTGTACTTTCATTCTTCTTTTTAGTAAATGTATGCAGTTTTGCTGTGATGACCCCCGTCCAAGTGTAGAACCATTTCATTAACTCAGAGGATCACCTTTTATCTTTGTACACTAGAGGATTTTGAGTAGAAAGCAGACAAAGCTCTAATATTATCTAATATTGCCCTTTCCGTTAAAGCAGAATAAAGCTCTCATTCTCTTTTCAAGTTATTGACCAGAACTCGAGGGAACACATGTACCAGTTCTAGGGAGCCTGGCACCTGGCCTGGGTTTCATCTTGCAGGCATTGTGTGCCTAGGAAACCTTGGCAGGGAGCCACTCTCACTGGCTCAGAATGTACTGGCTCTTTGAAAGTTGGAGCCCCGTGTCCCCATTTGGCTTCTGGCCCTGCCTTCTCCCGGCTGTGTTTAAGGCCAAAGTTCCCTGTGGGAGGCTGAATCCGCATCTTGTCTTTAACCCGTGTTCTGTGGAAACACTGTCACAAGCTTTCAGGTCTGCCCCTCTGAAGAAGAACACAGATGCATTTTGTGTGTCTCAGATTTTAAACAAGGTAACTGGGCAAGAAATCCATCATTGGCAGTTGTCACATGAGGTCTTTGGTGATTAAATCAATGATGGGTGGGCGTGGCGTGAAGTAGCCTTAGGAAAGTGTGGAAAGAGACTGGAGAGCCTATCAGCTGTTGAGGAGCAGTGGGAGGCCCAGGAAAAGCTTTGGGGCAGAATATAGGAGATGGGGGCAGGGACCGCTGCCGTCTGGTGGCCACAAGGGAGGCTGAACCTAGACTTTTCTACCAGGTGAGACTTGGAAGTTACTTTCCTCCTCTAAGCCTCCCTGTCTTTATTTGCATAGTGGGGAAATGGCATTTGCAACACAGAGTTGTCTTGTGGCTTTAATTAAATGTTTTTATAAATTTTAATTTAGTCTGTTAGCAGATGGTATTATATAATAATGGGTTTCATTATGATATCTTCATACAAGTACATAATACATTTTCATCATAGCCAACCCTCCATTACCTACTTTTGCCCCCTCTCATTCCTACTGATCCCCTTACTTCCTGTTCCAAACTAATCCCCCTTCTACTCTCTGTGGAGTTTTTTGTTTAGTTGTATTTTGTTTTTGTGACCCAATAATTTTTTAAAACTATTTTCTTTATTATTTTTATTTTATGTGTATGAATGTATTTCCTGCATATGTGTAAGTGCACCCGTGTCATGCAATGCCCGCAAAAGTCAGAAGAAGGCATCAGATTCTCCTGGAACTGGAGTTATAGATGGTTGTTAGCTACCATGTGGGTGCTGGGAATCGAACCCAGGTCCTCTGCAAGAGCAGTCAGTGCTCTTACCTGCTGAGCCAAGTCTCTAGCCCAGTGACCCAAAATTTTAATTAGAATTGCTTGCAGGAATGTGGATCAAGGATTAGTTACAGTAGCATTGGCAGTTTACCATTCTGAAGTACTATTTCTAAAGCTCTTTGAACATGCTCGGTGTGCAGTAAGCCTTCAGTGGATGTTGGGATGGGTTATTCCTGTTACTGGAATACATTATCATTGCTTTAGCATCATCCTATTCTGTTATTACCAAGGGAGACTTGGCAGAAGGAAGTAAAGCTGGGAACAAGCCTAGGCCAAGGTTTCTTAAACTCAAATGTGGACAAGATGTTACAGAGTCTCATTCTACAGGTGGGGCCTGGATTTCTGCCCTCGTCACAGCTCTCAGATACCGCTACTGGTTCTAAGCCTAGATCCTGAGCAGCAAGGCATTGATACAACCTTGTGCTGTACAATGCCACTACCCACCTCAGGCTCCTGAGCGCTTGAAATGCAGCCACTCTGAACTGAGTTGTGCTCAAGTATGAAGTGCACATTGTATTTGCAGACTGGTACAAAAATGTAAACTATCTCTAATGATATCCTCATATGGATTCTGTGTTGTAATGGTAATGTTGTTCGCATACCTGGTTAATTAATATATACTCTTATGTCCTATATTTCCTTTTACTTCCCTCTGTGAAAGTTTTAGAAAGCTGTAAGTTGCATGTGTGAGTCATGTTTTGTTTCTCCTGGACAATCCTGTATAGAATTCTCCAGCTCTGTCAGAATGGGCCAAAGAATGTTTGAATGTTCCCAGTGCAAAGAATTGATAACTCCCTGAGGTGATGATGTGCCAGTTACTCTGACCTGATCATCACACATTGCATAAATGGACTGAAGTATCACAATATGTGATAATTACGTATCAATTAAAACATTAAGAAGTATGATAGAGGTCTGGGGAGACAGCTCATTCACTAAAATGCTTACCCTGGAAACATGAGGACCTAAGTTCAGTTCCCAAAACCCACATAAAAAAATCTGAGCATGGGGTGTACACCTGGAATTCCAGCACTTGGGAGATGGAGACAAAAGGATTCTTGGGGCTCACTGGCAGCCAGTACAGCCTAACTAGAGATTTACAGGCAATTGAAATACACTGTCTCAAAAACAAAAGATGGACAGTGCCTAAGGACATTCATAGTTGTCCCATGGCCTCCACATATACATAAACACACATGCATATATACCTGCACACACATGTGCACCTGAACACACATACAAATATGCATACATGTGCACAAACCAAAATGTATGTTAAAGTACTTTCAATACACAACAAAATAAATGCTATTGAGGTATTCCCTTTGAAGAACTGAGCTTTGAGAAGTGGTCTCTACAACAAGGACCCCAGGTACACGGAGTCCCATAGGCAGTGAGATGTGGGAGAGGTGACTTCAGGTCCAGAGAAGAGGCATGATCACAGCCCAATGGCACCAGAGGCCATCATGTGTTCCACAAGGGGCTACAGTTCTCCTTGGGGCTGGTTACAGACTCCCCCTCAATTCAAACCCCAATATTCAAGACTACATCTCTCTTCTTTGGTGACAGGCCGGGGCTGACAAACAGCATGAGGTTGTGGCTGAGAGGCCTGGTCCTCCAGGCTCTGAAGAGCTCCCAGGCATTCTACGGGACTTATGGGCAGTCAACATCTCCACCTGTCCCTAAGGTTATGGCCACCTGGGAAGCCATCAGCCTGGGAAAACAGTCAGTGCCTGAGTACTTCAACTTTGCCCATGACATGTTGGACTTGTGGAGTCAGCTGGAAAAGGTGAGGCCCGCCCTGCCCTGGTGTCCCTGTTGGGCATCTGAAATCCCTCAGCCACTGTAACTAGATGGAAGACTGTAAGAAGGGCTGCATTTGAACATTTTACTCTGGGAATCTAGCAAGTCTTGAAATTTAAACTGATAGCACTAAAGCTTTGGGAGGAAGTTTTTAGGACTTCCTAAAGTACTCTGACTCAGACATATCTTGCACAATCCCCTATTCCTGAGCCCAAATCATACTACAAGATCACTGTGTCCCCTTGGTTCCACACTATTGATCTAATAAGTGGAGGAGGAAAGCAGCTTTGTTTTGAAGCTATTCAGTCTTCCACATTTCTCTTCCTTTCCTCTGAATAAGAGGCATAGGAATTCAGGTTCAAAGCTTTTTCACACAGACTTTTTTAAAAAATGCTTGTTTCATTGTATCTGCATATGTACCCTTCATATTTCCCTTATATGAGTCTGTTAAATCTCTCTCTGTCTCTGTTTCTCTGCCTCTGTCTCTCTCTGTCTCTGTCTCTCTGTATATATGCATTATATTTACATTACATGATGCTAATGCTTTATTAGTAAGAGAATATAAAATTTTATTGCAAAGAAATGTTAGCTTTAATTTTGTTTGTTTGTTTGTTGAGACAGTCTTATTTAAAAAAAAAACAAAAACAACCTGGCCTGGAATTATGTAGCCCAGGCTAGTCTTCAACACATGACAATCCTCCTGCTTTAGCCTGCCAAGTGCTGGGATTATAGGCATGATCCACTATGCCTGTCTTATCTGTGTTACTTTTGATAGACCTTTGTTAAAGGAAAAAAATAAGGCTGAATCTACTGCTACAAGATATAGGAATATGCCAAGGACTAGGGTAAACTGGTAAAGACTCTGAGGATGAATGAGAGGTGAAAGCAGCCCTTGAAGTCACCCAGGCACGGTTCAGCCACATACTTGAAGTGTAAACTAAGACGTGTTCCCTGAGATTTCTGGATCTTAGTATTCTCATCTGTAAATAGGAGTCAAGAAATCTCCTACTCAGACTTGTGGGCATTAAATGAAAAGTGTGTGTGATACATACCCAAAATGCTCCATTCTTAACTGTCTGCAGAATGTAAGGTCTTTTGCCATACTAGAAGAATTTTCTTTTCCCTCCCTCCCTCCCTCCCTTCCTTCCTTCTTTTCATTTTCTTTTCTGGGACCTTGAACAGGTTAGGCAAATGCTTCACCACTTTGCTATGTCCCCAGCTCTTGTTTGGGTTTTTCTTGGGGGTGGTGGTGTTCTTTTGTTTGTTTGAGACAGGATTTTGCTATGCAGCCCAGGCTGATCTTGAACTCATAATTCTTCTGCTTAACCTCCCAAGTGCTAGGATTACAGGTGTATTCTAGTATGCTTTCTGTTGCTGTGATAGAACACCAACCAAAACCAACTTGAAGAACAAAAGGGTTTATTTCATCTTACAGGTTAAAGCCTGCCATCCATGGAAGCCGAAACAGGGATCTAGGGGCAGGAACTAAAGCAAAGACCATGGAGGAACAGTACTTACTGGCTTGCTCCTACTGGTTTGCTAAGCTTGCTTTTTGCATAGCCTAGGCCCACCTGCTTAGGGATGGCACTGCCCGTAGTGACTGAGTCCTCCTACATCAATTAGCAATCAAGAAAAGGCCCACAGACATACCTATAGGCCAGTCCGATGGAGGAAAATTCTCAATTGAGAGTCCCTCTTCCCAAATGACTATTTTGTGTCAAGTTGACAAAATTCATCAGCAAGAGGTAGTTGACACACATCTGGCCTTCAGGGCATTCTTAGAGGACTTCTCCCAATGATAAAAATGAAAGTGCAGGAGTAAGTCAGTAAAAATGGTGAGATAAGGGTTTTCAAAAGTTCTCTGCTTGATGAAAGCAACAATCAAAAGACAAGAGCAACCCCAAAAAAAAAAAAAAAGGAAATCCGCTTTTTCAGAACTCTGTCAACTAACCAGAGGACTTGAACAGATCAGGGAATGCTTCTTAAAGCAATCACTGAACCTCAGTCAGAAGAACAGGCCAAGAGGCATTTTAAACTTCCTGGCCCTGACCCATCTCTCCAGTTTCCCAGTGGCATTGAAAAACAGCACTCTTCATCCCCAAGGGAGCCTGGAAGCCCAGGAAAGAGCAGAATGGAGCTGGAGATTTTTCAAAGCTTCATTTTCACAGACTTACCATTATTTGGTGTTTCTTTAGAAGACTCCTTTTGCAAGGCTGTCTGTATTGACCAAGCTAAGGTCTTAATGAGTAAGAAAAATCTATTCACAGGGAACCATTTGTCAAAAACAGCTGTAGACAAACATTTTAACTTTATGATTGCATGAAGTGAAGTGGAGAATATAGCTGTGGAAAACGAACCAGAGTAACCAAAGGCTATGAGAAAGGAAAACTAAGGAATGAGGTCTGTGTAAGGGCTTTGAAAATCTCCAACATATTCCTGAACTTCTAAAAAGAAGCATGAACAATTATAACTGTGTGCATCCCAGGGTCTTGTACACACTTGGGAAAGACTTGAAAAGACACTGAGTTCTCACTTCTGGATAACCTTGAGGATCCGATCAAGCAAAAAGTCAAGACTAAAGCAGAGCTGGTCATTTGTGCAATATTTCTTTTTGAGATAATGAAAATATTTTGGAATTAGATAGTGGTAAAAGTTACTGAGGGATTGAAAAGAAATTTACCTCATAGGCTTGAGTATTTGGACACTCGGTTTCCAGTCGAGGGTGTTGTTTGGGGACGTTATGGAACTCTCAGGATGTGGAGGCTTACTGGAGGAAGTATGTCACTAGGGGAGGGCTTTGAGAGTTGATAGCCACTTACCAGTTCCAGTTTGCTCACTCTGTCTCCCATGTGTGGTTTCTGTGATTTCCTAGTCTCTTGCTCCTGCCGCCAACCATAGCCGCACGCCAGCACATCCACACTCTCTATTATGAACATTTAGTCCTCTGGACCCTGAAGCCAGAATAAACTCTTGTTTAAGCTGACTTTGATCATGATATATTACCACAGCAACCAAAAGCTAATACAGTTACACAATCTTGTGGGGTATACTAAAATCCAATGAAGTGTGCACTTTTATGTGGTGATTTTTAGAATATGTGAATAATGATTCACTTAAAGAGAGAGAACACTGCATAGTGTAAATTATGTGCTTTCTTTTACATTAAAAAGTTGATATGGAAAATATGTACTACATTTGCCTAATTGAACACTGGAAGAATAGGAAGTAACAAATAAAATTGACTACTGAAACACAAGGAAGGATCAAGTGTTTTCAGTGTACATCTCTCCTTGCCATCTTAATTTTTGTATTTCGTTTGTTTGTTTGTTTTTTGAGAGAGGGTCTCATGTTGTCAGCACTGGGCTCAAACTCACTATGTAGTCATGGATAACCTTGAACTCCTGATCTTCTGGTCTCTATCTCCCAAGTCCTAGGGTTTACAGGCATGTTCTGCAACACCTGGTTTATTTAGCGGTGTTGTGAATTAAACCCAGAACTCTGTGTGTGCTAAGCATGTCCTCTACCAACTGGGTCACAGCCTCAGTCTACCATTTTGATTTTTTAACTCTCTGAATGTATAACTATTGTTAAAAAAAAAAAAAACTAAGCAAACAAAAAACTCGACAAATGGCTCCTATATTTTTCGGACTACACCCATTGTCCAGGCTGGGCATCGGCCCCCAAATCCTGCATTCTGGTGGGTGAATGGCACAGGAGCAGAAGTCAAGTGGACCTTTGAGGAGCTGGGGAAGCAGTCCAGGAAGGCAGCCAATGTCTTAGAGGGAGTGTGCGGTCTGCAACCTGGGGACAGAATGATGCTGGTACTCCCACGACTCCCAGAGTGGTGGCTGATCATTGTGGCTTGTATGAGAACAGGTCAGTGAGCAGGGTTGAGGTTTCTGGGTAGGGGTGGTACTGTCTGCCAGAGCTTTGCATTTTACACAAGGTTTGAAAAATGGAACAAAGTGAACCCCATGCACAACAGTCACAAACTTGATTGCATGCAGCTGCCAGACAACAATATGGTAATTAAAAGTAGACTACATCATGAGGTCCAAAGTGGAAGGAGTTCCTACATTTTTCTTGAGTACCTACTATGTGCTAGTTAAGAGATTTTTCATGATTCAAACTTCCCTTTGGAGTGGTATTTATTTTTGCTTCAAATATCTCCATGCTGTCCTGCTCTACAGGATCTTTGATACACAAATAAAATAACTCACAAGCACGTTTCCTGTTACCATGTGAGGTAGAACCCTGTTCACCATTTTAATTTTTTGATTTATTTTTATTTTATGTGTATGAGTATTTTGCCTGCGTGTATGTATGTAAGTGAACCATGTATGTCCTACAATGCCTGCAGAGGCCAGAAGAGGTTGTTGGATCTCCTGGAACTGATTTTACAGACGATTGTTAGTTGTCTTGTGGGGGCTGAGAACCAAACTTGGGTCCTTTGCAAGAGCAGCCACTGTTCCTAACCCCTGAGTCATCTCTCTGGCCCCCTCTCCAACATTTTATAAGATGCCAAAGCTGATGTCATTACAGCCTTACATCTGCTCGTTTTCCTCAAATGTACTTATCAGGTGATAGCGACACTTGAGGCTATCTACCTTCTTCCTGGGCCTCAGCCTGAACTCAGTCCCTAAAGCATGACTAACAAAAGACTTTCACTGGATACAGTAAAAGCCGAGAAGCAGAATGAAGACTACACCAGGGCTGGAGCGATAGTTCATCAGTAAAATGTTTACCTTATGAGCACAAGGACCTTAATTTGATACTCAGAACTCATGAAAAAAAAATCCAAGTGTAATGGTACAAGCTTATAAACTCAGCCACTCATGAAAAAAAAATCCAAGTGTAATGGTACAAGCTTATAAACTCAGCCCTGGAGAGGAAGAGACAGTGGATTCCTGGGGTACAATGACTAGCCACCTGGGCCTGCTTGGTAAGTTGCAGGCCAGCGAGAGAGCCTGTCTCTAAAACAAGGTGGACAGGAAGATGCCCAAGGTCTTCCTCTGACCTCTTCCACACATACACACGTGCACACAGATGTACAAGCATCCACTCCCCCCAATATGACCACACCCACATGAATACACACACACACACACACACACACACACACACACACAAAGCACAATATTTGAAATCATGCAACCTGGAAGACAGGGCAAAGAGCTTGACTCTCCTGCTGTACTGAGCTGGCCCCTCCCTCTGCCTACTGACCTCACTGACTAGATGTGACACATGACTGATTCCTTTAGAAACCACTGCTTCTCATTTGTGAAATAATTATGTTGGACTTATTGAAATACTGAAAATCCACATTCTGAAATATTTGGAAGCTTTCAAATGTCAGAGAGAAATTTGCTCCTGAGTTCTGCCTCCTTATTGTTCCTTGGGAAGAAGTAGAATCAGCCACCCTTAGAATAGCTTTGGTTGAAACAATATGGGGGAGTCCTAGTCCCTAGCATGCTATACCTCTATTATCAACAAGTGACCCTCACCCAACACATGAATTTATTGCTCCATTTTGTTTATTTGAAAGTCATGAAAAACAATTGAACTAGGGAATTTATATGTCATTATGAAATAATGAGATCAGGATTATTGACTCTTAGGTTCACCAGAGCTCAGTTCCATAGTTCCAGTTTTAGACATTAGCTCTGTGCTCACAGAACAAGGCCTTAGATAAAGCATAAACATCTCGACTTAGAGCTTTTAAAAAGTTACAGAATGTTTGCCATAATAGCATGCATTTCCCAGGATTGTGGGAATCAAATGAAATTATACTGTGAAGTTCTTACCCCAGGTTCCCTACATGTCTTTTGGACTTCACTGTTGCTGTTATTGTTTCCTCTTCCAGCTCAGGTACTCCAGCTTTCTCTAACCTCTCCCTTCTCTGGGTTACATTAGGATCTTCCACCACTACTAAGTCAACCTCCCCTCTCTGTATGAACCCAGGTGTGGTCATGATCCCGGGTATCTCCCAGCTGACAGAGAAGGACCTCAAGTACCGGCTGCAGGCTTCCAGGGCCAAATCCATTGTCACCAATGACTCCCTAGCTCCGCATGTGGATGCCATTAGTGCTGACTGCCCCTCCCTCCAGACCAAGCTGCTGGTGTCAGACAGCAAATGTCCAGGCTGGATGAATTTCCGGGAACTCTTGCAGTAAGTTGGGGCTTTCAGGAGACTAAGCAATACCATGAGCTTTGAGTATTTCCCTTTTCAGCCGTAGGACCGCCCATGAGGAGACCGAGTCAGAGAGCTGCTCATTTTGAAAGCCAGGCTGCCCAGAGACATAAACCTTGTGACCATCTTAATGTTCAATGTCATTCAGTCAAGCTGCTGGATGTGTCACTGTGCCCTGTTTTCCCTGTAATGAAAGCAGGAATTACTGGAGCTCTTAGCCACAGTATATGAGCTAAACTTTATGATGCATTTAGTTCACAGCAAGTAGTCAATAATTAAATCAAGTGCTCACTGTATGTCAGGCACTGTGCTAGATAAGCATTCACCTACATTCATTCATGTAGGAAGGAATTAATGGGTATCTGTTTTGTGAATGACATTGTATTCAATCTGTTTTGTGAATGACATTGTATTTGGTGCTCAGAACACTATAGTGAATAAGACATCATATGTTAATACTTGAAAGGAGTCCTACCAAGTGTAATTTAATTTTTAAAGGTGAGGAAACAGGCATGAAAATGTGATGTGACTCACCCAAAATTGCCAAAAAGTAATAAAGTCAGACTTAGGATGAAGTCAAAACCGCCTTTGCCTTGTAACCAGGATGTAGCAGGCACCCATCTGGGATTACCTAAGATTCTTGTCCTGATCAGAGAGTAGAACTTGCCTGTTGTGGTGGCTCATATCTTTAATCCTAGCACTCAGGAGTGTGAGGCAGAAGGATGGTGCGTTTGGGGCTGGCCTGGGCTACATAAATTGATGTGTCACAAAACACAATCAATAACAACAAAAATCCAAAACAAGCTCCTCTGAGTCCTGAACTTTTGAGTCATACGTGTCCATTTCAATGGCCAGATGCACTTGATTATTTTAAATATAGATTCCACAGTCTAGCATCCAACCTATTTAGCCAGAAATATCTGAGAAAGGGCCCTGGAAATCTGAATTGCTAATAATCAGCCCATGTCATTTTGGTGAGCTGGCAAATTGGCCTAGAGTCATCCATTTTAATTTCAGTTGTCATTAAAAATTCCTGAGAATCTTTTTTAAAAAATCATGTTTTTCCAGGCATGGTGGCACACACCTTAAATCCCTGCACTCCAGAGGCAGAGGCAGAGGCAGAGGCAGGTAGATCTCTGTGTGTTTGAGGCTAGCCAGGTCTATATAGCAAGTTCCAGGGCTATGTAGTGATACCTTGTTTCAAAAGAATAAAATAAAGCAAAACAAAATGAAAACAATCAAGGTTGTAATTTTACTTGGTCCAAGGAGGAACGCAGGTAATAGACGCTTTTAAAAACTAACTGAGGAATCCCAAGACACAGCCAGGCTTGAGAATTATGGGCTAGCTGGTCTTCAAATCACAGAACTTTTGGAATCTCCCAATCTCAAGCCCCAAGATTTTGAGAACACCTTCAAAAAGCAGCTTAAAATTATTAAGAATTGAGATGGAGATAGGGCTATTCCTAAATGTCCAGAATTATGCACATAAAAATATATATGTTCCACCAGAAAACCTTCAAATCCCAGTCAAAAGATGTAGAGATCTTTGTGGGGTGTGTGTGTGTGTGTGTGTGTGTGTGTGTGTGTGTGTACGCGCACGCGCACGTGCACTTGTTCATGTAGGAGTGCACATGTGTGTGTGCACACATGTGCAGGCTGAAGGTAGACACCAGGGAGCTTTGTCTACTGCTCTTCACTACTTTATTTTCGAGGCAGGTTTTTCACTGGACCCAGAGCTCACTAGTTAGATAGAATGGCTGTCTGACAAGCTCCAGGGTCCTTCCTGTCTCTTCCTCCCCAGCCCTGAAATTACAGACACAAGTAGCTTTTACGTGGGTGCCGGGGATCTAAACTCGGGTCCTCATCCCTACCTTTACTGAATGAGCTATCTCCTCAGCCTATAGAGATATTTTTAGTGAGACATTTAGGCATTTTGAGCCTCAATTTCCTTGCAAATGGGTGGTAGAGATGGACCTATCCTCTAAGGTGTCTGTAGATAATGCAACCCTCCATACAACACCTCAAATGTGATATGTTGAAATGGTAGTCCTATCTGCTATAAAATTGTAATATTATCCATTAATTCTCCTATTAGCAGTATCATATAGCATGTTTGCATTTTCCAGAGAGGCATCCTCACAACACAGTTGTGTAAGAACCAAGAATCAAGATCCGATGGCTATCTACTTCACCAGTGGAACCACAGGGGCGCCCAAGATGGCTGAGCACTCCCAGAGCAGCTATGGATTGGGTTTCATGGCCAGTGGAAGGTATTATGACATCTTGTTTATAAAGTCTAAGAACAGAGTGGGTGAATGAGCAATGGGGAGAGAGCAAAGGAGAAAGAGATGGAAATGGAGGTCAGAAAGCAGCCAGAAGGTAAGTCAGGCTGCCCCCGACTCTTTTCCTCTCTCACGTCCCCTGTACCTTTTGCCCATCCTCCGTCCTTCCTCATCACCTATTCCTACACTCTCTTGGTCTGCTTTCTAGATTTTAGGTTTTACCCATATTTACAGATATCCACATATATACATTACAGGCTAGGATCCACACATAAGAGAAAATATGAAGTTTTGTCTTTTGAGGTTGGGTCACTTCACTTAATATTATAGTTTCCAAATCCTTTCATTTCCTTGTCATATGACCCAGCTGTACCACACCTGGATATATACTCAAAAGACTCCATATCCTACCACATAGGTACTTGCACATCCATGTTTATTGCTGCTCTATTCACAGTAGCCAAGAAACGGAACCAGTCTAGACGCCCATCGACAGATGAATGGGAGAATAAAAATACGGCAACATATACACAATGGGATTTTATCCAGCTGTAGAGAAAAATGAAATCTTTAGGAAAATTTCCTTACATTATATGGCTCAAAAGTGTTCCATTCTATGTATACGTCATGGTTGTTAAATCCACTCAACTGTTCGTAAATGCATGACTTGCTTCCATATTGTGTCTGCAGCCCCCACGGTTAACTCTTTGGGTGTCTGCTAGAAGCAGAACTGCTCAATCACATTGCAATTCATTCTCTGTTAAGGGGTTTTTGTTTGTTTGTTTGTTTGTTTAAGAAATATTGGGTATTTTGAGCAGAGGTGTGACATGATCCAATTTGGTTTTTTTTTTTTCAAAGAATCACCAGGCTATTGGGCTGATAATAAATGGTAAGGGGCAAGAGATGAAGCAGAGAACAGAAAAGAGGTCAGTGCATTAAGGCAAAAACAGGACTTTTCTTGTGGAGTAGAAGTGACAAGAGGGAAGCGATTCTAAATAATTTTAAACTTAGACCTAATGAGATTTTTCTGACAATTCAGTATGGCGAGAGAAGTCAAGGATAGCTCTTTTCTCTGTTTTGAATAACTTTAAAATTTATTAAATAAAAACTGCATGAACACAACTGAAAGATTTATAATAAACAGAAAAGTTAAATATAAACTATCAAATGTAAAATATGTCACTGTATAATTTGCAACATCAAAACTAAATATTATATACCCATTTGGGGAATGGGGACTAGGAGATGGTCAGGGGAATATTACTCTTACTGAGTAAAAAAATTTCAGTTTAATATACACAAAAAACTAAGAAAAAATAATTAAAAAATTAAACACCTTCAAATTGAGTAATATTTTTTGAATAAAGAGTTCAGTACAGGCCATGTAGGGTAAAATTTATATTAAAAAATCTGCGATTAAAAATGGTCATTTAAAATGACAGTTTCTTCAACTTATTTCCAAAAATAAAAGAGATCTCCTTAATTTAAAAATTAAAACGGTGTATTCAAATGCCTGTAACACCTATGTAACACTCTTGGACAGGCTCTATTTATTGCTGCTTCGTGGCCATAGTTCCATAATACTGTGGAATTCACGTAGAGTCCAACGTTTCTGAAGCATGTCCTGTTTGATTCTCAGCAGGAACTGGCAGTTTGTTTACCATTTCTTTCAGAAATAAACAGGTCAAGAAAGTAATGTAGAGTTAAAGATGAAAAAGCATTGGCAAATAGCCACTTCAGTATAGTTAGCTAAAAACTGGGAACACACACAGCACAAATGAAGATTGAATAAATCCAGCTGACCCTACATTCACAAAGAAATCTCTTTAAAACATATTTGTGAGCAAATGATGTGGGTTGAACAGTTTCCAAACTTGCATTAGGTACAGATGGTGGTACCTGCAGCTCTCCCTTACTCTAAGTTCATACCACATAGACAGGAGTGGGGCTTCTCCCACTTCCTACAGATCAGAACCTGTTTCAAGTCTCTCCACACCCTGCCTGAGGTATGTAGAAAGATCATGAACGTGCAGAGCAGCCTCAGCAGTGGGGGCGGGCG